GCAAGCTCACAAGTAAATTGAAAACATCTCCCAGGTATTCATGATCCCCCAAAAAAGGTCATGCCTTCCCTTTCAGTCCAGAGGTAAAAGTGACCAAATAATGTCACATATTGGTCACAGCAAAGAAAAACATATAGACGCAATTCGCCAAAAATATGCAAAAAAATATTGAAACAAAAATGAATACCTCAAGTTGAGCATAGCAAAAAACCTTGAAAAATATACAGAAAAATAGAAAATGTTGAATTTTAGGTTGCCGACGAGTAAAAATTTGGGCTCCGAGCCAATTTACGTACATTGTGGCCGCTGTGCGGGTATCACTTTTCCACCCGCAGACGAAGACGAATTCCAAAGACGAATTCGGCAGAGTTGTTCCTGGAAGACGAATGGCCCCCCGAAGACGAATGGCCCCCCGAAGACGAATTCCGCAGACGAATTTCCCCGAGACGAATTTTCCCTCCCGAAGACGAATTCCGCAGACGAATTCCCCGAAGACGAATTCCCTCCCCAAGACGAATTCCCCCCCGAAGACGAATATTCCGCAGACGCATTCCCCGAAGACGAATTCCCCCCGAAGACGAATTCCGAAGGCGAATTCCACAGACGAATTCCCCGAAGACGAATTCCCCCCCGAAGGCGAATTCCGCAGACGAATTCCCCGAAGACGAATTCCCTCCCGAAGACGAATTCCCCGAAGACGAATTCCCCCCCGAAGGCGAATTCCGCAGACGAATTCCCCGAAGACGAATTCCCTCCCGAAGACGAATTCCCCGAAGACGAATTCCCCCCCGAAGGCGAATTCCGCAGACGAATTCCCCGAAGACGAATTCCCTCCCGAAGACGAATTCCCCGAAGACGAATTCCCTCCCGAAGACGAATTCCCCCCCGAAGACGAATATTCCGCAGACGAATTCCCCGAAGACGAATTCCCCCCGAAGACGAATTCCGAAGGCGAATTCCGCAGACGAATCCCCCGAAGACGAATTCCGCAGACGAATTCCCCGAAGATTTCCCCCTGCGTGCGCATGGTGCTACGTTCTATAGGATCTTTCTTTGCATTTGCGCACGCTCTTGATGCTACATTGTAGGATTCTTTTCTGCATTTTCCCATAGGCTTGATGCTACATTCTAGGGTCTTCTCTTGCATGTGCACACTCGATGCTACGTTGAAGATCTTCTCTTACACTTGCGCACTTGATCCTGGGTTCCAGGATTTTTTCTTTGCACTTGCGCATGCGCTTGATGCTATGTCGCACTTGCATTTGCACACTTCATCCTGTGTTGGATCTTCTCTTGCACTTGCGCACACTTGATGCTACGGTCTAGGATCTTTACTTGCACTTTCCCATGCACTTGATGCCACGTTCTTTGATATACTCTTGCCCTTGCGCGCGCTTGATACTACGTTCCAGGATCTTCTCTTGCACTTGCACTCACTCGATGCTACACACTTGAAGCGGCGGAATCCAAAGCAAGAAACGAAATGGAAGATATGAAACACAAGGAAGGAAGTAATGAGCAAAATGAAAGACTGGAATCCGGTTCGTGTACCTCTCCCTTTCGTTTCAACTCTTCCATCTGGTTCGTTAATGTGTGTTACATCTTTGTTTCGTTGCAACTCTTCCATGTCATTAAATGAAAGGAAGGAAGTAACGAACGGAATGGAGGAGTTGAAACGAACCATATAGAGGTAAACAAACCGAATGGAAGAGTTGAAATGAAGGGAAGATGTACACTCATGTACACGAACCGGATGCAAGTAAAGTGAAGCAACAGAAACAAAGCGACGCGCGAAATCAGAATTGAAACAAAAGGAAGAAGTACCGAAGGAAATGAAAGAATTTTAGCGAAAGGAAGGAAGTAACGAACGAAATAGTGGAGCTGAGGCGAAGCGTAGAGGTAAATAGATCGTCAGCCAGCCACATGGTCTTGCGCATGCACTTGATGCTACGTTCTAGGATGTTTCTTTGCCTACGCGCTTGATGCTACGGTCTATAGGATCTTTTCTTGCACTTGCCCACGCACTTGATGCTACGTTCTAGGATCTTCTTTTGCACTTGCGCACTTGATGCTGCGTTCTAGGATCTTCCCTTGCGCTTGCACACACAGTGGATGCTATGTTGCTTGGTTCTCATTGACTGATCTGGGTGATGTACAATGAAACATCAATTGCTTGAATGCGAAAGTTAGTTGTGCCTGCCCGGACTCGTGAATAGTGTCTCTTGAATCAACATTGCTTCTCGAAGCTTCGGAGAGGATTTTGTGAGTACATCCTCTTTTGTGTTCCTTGGGGTTTCGGGTGGGGGGGTGGGAGGGCAAGAACGTTCAATCAGGCTTGCATACCTAGATGATGCTACATCTGTATGCTGCGGCACGGTCACGTTCGTCAGGCAATGTGTCGTCACAATGCGTCGTCAGGGGGGAATGCGTCGTCAGGGGGCAATGTTTCGTCAGGCAATGTGTCGTCACAATGCGTCGTCAGGGGGGAATGCGTCGTCAGGGGGCAATGCGTCCTCAGACAATGCATGTGTCGTCACAATGCGTCGTCAGGGGGGAATGCGTCGTCAGGGGGCAATGTGTCCTCAGACAATGCATGTGTCGTCACAATGCGTCGTCAGGGGGCAATGCTTCGTCAGGCAATGTGTCGTCACAATGCGTCGTCAGGGGGGAATGCGTCGTCAGGGGGCAATGTGTCCTCAGACAATGCATGTGTCGTCACACTGCGTCGTCAGGGGGGAATGCATCGTCAGGGGGCAATGTTTCGTCAGGCAATGTGTCGTCACAATGCGTCGTCAGGGGGGAATGCATCGTCAGGGGGCAATGTGTCCTCAGACAATGCATGTGTCGTCACAATGCGTCGTCAGGGGGGAATGCGTTGTCAGGGGGCAACGTGTCGTCAGACAATGTGTCGTCACAATGCGTCGTCAGGGGGCAATGCGTCGTCAGGCAATGTGTCGTCACAATGCGTCGTCAGGGGGGAATGCATCGTCAGGGGGCTGTCCTCAGACAATGCATGTGTCGTCACAATGCGTCGTCAGGGGGGAATGCGTTGTCAGGGGGCAACGTGTCGTCAGACAATGTGTCGTCACAATGCGTCGTCAGGGGGCAATGCGTCGTCAGGCAATGTGTCGTCACAATGCGTCGTCAGGGGGGAATGCGTTGTCAGGGGGCAATGTGTCGTCAGACCATGTGTCGTCCCAATGCGTCGTCAGGGGGGAATGCGTCGTCAGGGGGCAATGCGTCGTCAGACAATGTATACGTCACAATGCGTCGTCAGGGGGGAACGCGTCGTCAGGGGGCAATGCGTGAGTCGTCAGACAATGTGTCGTCAGGCGGGAATGCGTCGTCAGGGGGCAATGCGTCGTCAGGCAATGTGTCGTCAGGGGGCGGGGGGGTCATTGCCAATCTGTCGTCGGAATGCGTCGTCAGCGTCAGTGCCAAAAGTCATACCCAAGCTGCGTGTGCCCTGTAAATATTTACGTACATATTTTCTATTTACGTAAATGTGAGTCTACTAATTTTCGAGACTTAGGGTAGAACTACGTCAACCAAAGCTGCCAACAGCAACATGAAAGCAGCCATTCCAAGGGAAAATGCAAGACTGGATCACCAAACACATTGGCACAGCGCATTCAAACTTTCAAAGATCTCCTCCGCCCAGCGCTGACTATGGGGACCACTCGAGCGCGCCACGAACGAAAACCGAACCCGTCGCACAGACAAGGTTCCCCCCATCGACGCCGGGAGGCACATTCTGCGAGAAAACACCGGGTTTCGTGCGATTTCAAAATTCCACAAGTCACCTGCGCGAAGCAATCATTGCGATCTGCAATCCGTGCCTTGCAAATCACAGTAGAACTACGTCAACCAAAGCTGCCAACAGCAACATGAAAGCAGCCATCCCAAGGGAAGATGCAAGCCTGGATCACCAACCACTCTCACAGCTCAGCTCTCACAGCTCAGCTCTCTTTACTGCGCGGCTCTCTTCACAGCTCAGATCTCACAGCTCAGCTCTCTTCACAACTCAGCTCTCTCACATCTCAGCTCTCTTCACAGCTCAGCTCTCTTCACAACTCAGCTCTCTCACATCTCAGCTCTCTTCACAGCTCAGCTCTCTTCACTGCTCAGCTCTCTCACAGCTCAGCTCTCTCACATCTCAGCTCTCTTCACAGCTCAGTTTTTTTTACTGCGCGGCTTTCTTCACAGCTCAGCTCTCACAGCTCAGCTCTCTTCACAACTCAGCTCTCTCACATCTCAGCTCTCTTCACAGCTCAGCTCCCTTCACAGCTCAGCACTCTCAGATCTCAGCTCTCTTCACAGCTCTGCTCTCTTCACTGCTCAGCTCCCTCACAGCTCAGCTCTCTCACAGCTCAGCTCTCTCACAGCTCATTCTCTCAACTTTTTCAGAATCCGTAAAACAGAGTTGAGATTACTAAACTTCGTTTGAGTAAACAATAAACAAAGATTAAGAAAGAAACACTTTTTTTTTCATATTTTATTTTTTTTGCCGCATTTTTCCTTCCAACACTATTTTTAGAAGGGGATAGGGTAGCCTTTTGCTCAACGACCTCGTAACAGACCCCGCAGCACAGAAGAAAATATTTTTTCGTAAAAAAATCATAATTTTTCTTGCCCAATTCCACTAATTTTTAAATATTCTAAAGTACCGTAAAAAACATAGATCACAGTAATTTAGACAGAGACTCTGGATAGTACCCTTTTGAATAGATCCCCAGAGATGAAGAAAAATGTGTCAAACGCTGTGTTAAAATTTGGGTCTCTGAAAGTATCAAAACTTCTCAATTTCCATTGCTGCTAGTACAACTTGCCTTGCTCAAAATGCAAATCAAAAGACCTGCGACATCTTTTGACCCGTTTTTTGAATCATCTTAATATGTTGACCGTTGACCTGATTGTTTTCCGGATCTTTGCTGTTGAAATGTTGATTTTTCTGTATCGTTTTGCTGCTTGTGGAACCAGACGTGTTTGCCATGGCTGAGGTCTCAGACAAGCCCTCTGAAAACCACTACCATTACTTCGACAACCGCGTGCTGCCACCACATGTGGATGCGGACCTGGCTTACGCAGAAGGATGGTGGTACAAACCGGAGTACATCATCAATCACATGAATATCAACTCTGCCATGTTTGAGCCACGTCACAACTCCTTCGTGCTGGACGCGCCAAAGGCATCTACGGAGGCGTCAACGGAGACGATGTCTACCTTGAAAGTGTCTGGCTATGCCTACACTGGTGGAGGCCACAAGATCATTCGTGCGGAGATTTCTTTGGACTCTGGAAAGTCGTGGGAGATCACGGAGCTCACAAGACCCGAAGATGAGATTGCAGAAGCTCGTGGTACTGACAAGCACTGGTGTTGGGCTTGGTGGGAGACAGAAGTGGACATAAGAAGGCTAGAAACCTGTGAAGAAATTTGCTGCCGTGCTTGGGATTCCAATCAGAACTCCCAGCCTGTGCAACTCACCTGGACCGTCATGGGCATGTTGAATAATCCGATCTACCGGATCAAAATACACCGCGAGAGAGGCATGACGTGGTTCGAACACCCAACACAGGGATCAATGCCTGGTGGTTGGATGACTGATGCTGCTGGCGAGTTCAATGAGAAGTTTGCAGTTGAAGCAACACGTGGCAAGACGGGTATGGCACCCATGAGGCCAGTGGCGGCTCTGTGGACAGGCGCCAAAGCCACGCAGAATCCAATCTCGTTGCAGTCCAAGGTTTCCAAGGCTTCCAAGGAATTGAACGTCAGGAGTATCAGTATGGCAGAGGTGAAGCAGCATGCTTCTGAGAAGTCCTGTTGGTTTGTTGTGAATGACAACGTCTATGATGGCACACCTTTTCTGAAGGATCATCCTGGGGGAGCTTCATCCATTCTGCTCGTTGGAGGCATGGAGGCCACGGAGGATTTCGAAGCAGTGCACTCAACACGTGCATGGGAGATGTTGAGCGACTACTACATTGGCCGCCTTGGCCCGTCAAGTGATGAGCCTGCCTTGAGCGCAGTCCATCCGCTTACAGTCGCAAGCGTCATATCCTCCATGGGTTTCGTACCCTGGCTTTTGCTGCGACCTTTGTTCGGCCTTGCTGGTCAGTTTTGGAAGGCTTTCTCTTTCTCGTTCTCACCTTTGTTTGGTGCACTCTCTGCTTTCTCGTTCTCTGGACCTTCAGCATTCTTGAATCCTCGAGTCAGCTTGCAGCTTTACCTTTCGGAGAAGATTGCTGTGAATCATGATACTCGCATCTTCCGCTTCAAGTTGCCTCCATCAATGCGGCTGGGGCTTCCTACTGGTCAGCACATTACTTTGAAAGCCAAGATCGACGGCAAGCCTGTGATGAGGGCTTACACACCCATGACAGATGACAGCACTTTGGGTCATGTTGACCTGCTTGTGAAGGTGTACTTCAGAGGTGTCCACCCCAACTTTCCAGAAGGTGGCAAGATGTCCCAGCATTTGGAATCCATGAAGATAGGCGATGCGATTGATGTGAAGGGGCCCATTGGTGAGTTTGAGTACAAAGGGAAGGGTCACTATGTCATGAACGGCAAGTCTCGCTTTTGCAAGGAGATTTCCATGATTGCTGGTGGCACTGGCCTCACTCCGTGCTACCAGGTCCTGTCGGCCATTCTCCGCGATCCCAAAGACACGACCAAAGTGCGCTTTCTCTATGCCAATCGTACCGTAGATGACATTCTTGCACGAGACATTCTGGAAGAACTGGCAGCAAAGCATCCTGACCGCTTTGTACTGAGCCTCACTGTGGACAGGCTAACCCCTGCAGAGGAGAAAAACGCAAGCCCAGTCAAAAACTATGCAACTTGGCAGGGGTATGTTGGCTTCGTTGATGGAGCCATGACCAAAGCTGCTCTCTTCCCAGCGAGTGGTGCAGGCGTTTGCTTGATGTGTGGACCTCCTGTGATGCTGGAGAAGGCTTGCTACCCTGCGCTGCATGCCATGGGGTACGCAGATGATGACATTTTTTGCTTCTGAAGCAACACTCACTACTGGAGGAGGTGCGAGCAATCCGCTGCTTCCTTTCCAGGTCCATGCAGGCTATGTCATGTTTTGGGCTTTGCTGTCCCCTTGCTACTACTGGCGGGAGCATGGGGGCATGTTCCATGGCCCAGCTGTGGATATGTTCTTTTTTTGGCTATCTAAGTTTTGGAGAAACAACTTTTCCGAAGACAGCAAAGGACACTCATGCAGAATGCATGCTTTGCTGCCCAGAATGATCCTTTGCATGGAGTGCAGGACTTTTGCAGAAAATACCGTATATAGAGTTTGGCATGATTTGGGTAGCTCTGAATTTCCCAGGAACAACCTTTCCAAGGACAGCAAAGGACAGTCATGCAGAAGGCATGCTTTGCTGCCCAGAATGATTCCTTGCATGGAGTGCGGGATCATTTTGTTCCTGGCGGATGAGCACCAATGTCGCTGACAGGCTGATCTCAGCACGAAAAGGAACTTTAGCAGCTTGGGGCAAGTCTCTCTTGCATGGCTACATCTCCATCCAAGCGGGGTCTTTTTCATTGAATTTATAGTCAGTGTGTCGCTGTGTTGCTGAGAGGTTTACAGTATTTGTACTTGTATTGGACTGTGTATGAAATAGATAGTACAGGTGGTATAAGCGTTGATTTGATCCTTTTCAGAAGGAGCATTGATGCCACTGCAGGCTTGGAATGGCTTGGATGATTTTGGCAAAGTTGTGAGCAAACATGGAAGCTTCGCAGCCATTTTTGTCATTTTTTCGAGACTCAAGCGGCAGTTGCAATCGGCCCGCCTTCGCAAAAAGCATGCCGGGCTTCAAATTGGCAGTGGATAAGAACAACAAGGCAACAGAATTGGCTTTGATTCGCGTATGTGGCACAGTTCAGCAGAATCCACACATGAGGGCATTCTGGGCTTCCACCATTTCCTTCTTCCTAGCCTTCTTGGGCTGGTTTGCCCTGGCACCTTTGGCACTCGAGGTGGCCACCAGCATGGGCACGTGCGAGAATCAACTCTATCCACCAGAAGACAACCCCAAGCGGGTGGCCTACCTGAAGTACAAGTCACTCAAGACAGGCAAAGCGTACTGCCAGTACGGCAAGAATGATGACACCAATCCCACAGACTGCAATCCCGTGCCACAGGACATTTTAGCGAGTGGGACTGCAGACGAGAAGATGCAGTACCGACCAGGGGTGCTGGCGGACTGTGTTTGCACCCCAGGAACTGAGTGCAAAGACATCATCGCAAATGCAGGAGTGGCTGCTGTGGCATCGACCATTTTTGTACGCATCGCACTCGGTACGTTGTTGGAGCGATTTGGGCCTGTGAATGTCCAATCAGGCCTGATGACCTTTGGAGCTTTCTGGGTTGCAATGGCTGCAGCCATTACAGCGCCCTGGAACTACACCTTGATCCGCTTCTTCATTGGGTGCGCAGGAGCGGGATGAATCCCAGACAGTTTTGGGTTAAACGAACCATGATTGAGAACGAATATCATCGTGCCAAGATGTGGTACAGACCATGGGCGATGTGTACAGCTTGTTCCAGCAAGAATCTTTTCTGATTTGTTCCGTGCTCACGCTAATTACTGCACTTGTTCACGTTCTTTTCCAATATTCGGAGTGTGAGCATGTCACCAGTCCCCACCCATCGGCCACCAGCCACCACCACCACCAGCAGCCAACCGACTACCAAACAACATTTTTTCCAGCACCCGTAGCCCATTTTCTATAATTCTTATTTTTTGGATTTGTTTTCAGCATGGAATGATTTTTCGAGGACAAACCCTGCAGGAGCTACCTTTGTCACCAACCAGTTCTGGTGCTCTTTGATGTTTTCCCCAAACGTGGTTGGCACGGCCAATGCCACAGCAGCTGGCTGGGGGAACTTGGGCGGCGGTGTTACACAGATCTTTATGATTTCAGTGCTGTTCAATCCAATGGTGAGTTCTGGCATGCCAGCAAACACTGCCTGGCGAGTTGCCATGATCGTTCCTGCTGTCCTTTTCTTGATTTGCGCAGCCACCATGAAACTCTTGTGTTGGGACACACCCACGGCCAAGCGCTTCGATGTGTCTGTGACTGGTAAGACCCAGAAACCATCTTTGTGGGACTATGTCGTGGTGCTGAAAGACATCCGCGTCATTGTGATGATTTTTCAATACAGTGCATGTTTCGGCACCGAACTCGCCATGAACAACCAACTGGCCACCCATTTCAGGACCTATTTCCAAATGGATGCGGCAGATGCATCAGCCTTGGCAGGAGCTTTTGGCCTCATGAACTTGTTTGCTAGGTCCCTGGGAGGCATCACCAGTGACATCCTCTTCAAGTACGTTGGTTTCCGAGGCCGCATTTGGGCGCAATTCTTGGCCCTTTTCTTTGAAGCGGTCTTCCTCTTCTGCTTTGGTATGGTGGACAGCTCGCAGCCATGGTATGTTGCTTTGGCCGTGCTGGTTTGTTTCTCTCTCTTTGTCCAGATGGCAGAAGGTACAAGCTACGGGATTGTGCCTTTTATGAACAAGCAGCAGCTGGCCGTGGTGTCTGCACTGGTTGGGGCTGGCGGAAATTTGGGAGCTGTTATCGCTGGGTTTTGCTTCTACAAACCCATCAATGATCCGCTGCTTCCTTTCCAGGTCCATGCAGGCTATGTCATGTTTTGGGCTTTGCTGTCCCCTTGCTACTACTGGCGTGAGCATGGGGGCATGTTCCACGGCCCAGCTGTGGATAAGCCAGCTGGGAAGAAGCCCCAGGCTGCAGAATCCACAGGAACTACCGTATAAAGTTTGGCATGTGTTTTTTTGGGATATCTAAGTTGTGGAGAAACATTTTTTCCGAAGACAGCAAAGGACACTCATGCAGAATGCATGCTTTGCTGTCCAGAATGATCCTTTGCATGGAGTGCAGGACTTTTGCAGAAAATACCGTATATAGAGTTTGGCATGATTTGGGTAGCTCTGAATTTCCCAGGAACAACCTTTCCAAGGACAGCAAAGGACAGTCATGCAGAAGGCATGCTTTGCTGCCCAGAATGATTCCTTGCATGGAGTGCGGGATCATTTTGTTCCTGGCGGATGAGCACCAATGTCGCTGACAGGCTGATCTCAGCACGAAAAGGAACTTTAGCAGCTTGGGGCAAGTCTCTCTTGCATGGCTACATCTCCATCCAAGCGGGGTCTTTTTCATTGAATTTATAGTCAGTGTGTCGCTGTGTTGCTGAGAGGTTTACAGTATTTGTACTTGTATTGGACTGTGTATGAAATAGATAGTACAGGTGGTATAAGCGTTGATTTGATCCTTTTCAGAAGGAGCATTGATGCCACTGCAGGCTTGGAATGGCTTGGATGATTTTGGCAAAGTTGTGAGCAAACATGGAAGCTTCGCAGCCATTTTTGTCATTTTTTCGAGACTCAAGCGGCAGTTGCAATCGGCCCGCCTTCGCAAAAAGCATGCCGGGCTTCAAATTGGCAGTGGATAAGAACAACAAGGCAACAGAATTGGCTTTGATTCGCGTATGTGGCACAGTTCAGCAGAATCCACACATGAGGGCATTCTGGGCTTCCACCATTTCCTTCTTCCTAGCCTTCTTGGGCTGGTTTGCCCTGGCACCTTTGGCGCTCGAGGTGGCCACCAGCATGGGCACGTGCGAGAATCAACTCTACCCACCAGAAGACAACCCCAAGCGGGTGGCCTACCTGAAGTACAAGTCACTCAAGACAGGCAAAGCGTACTGCCAGTACGGCAAGAATGATGACACCAATCCCACAGACTGCAATCCCGTGCCACAGGACATTTTAGCGAGTGGGACTGCAGACGAGAAGATGCAGTACCGACCAGGGGTGCTGGCGGACTGTGTTTGCACCCCAGGAACTGAGTGCAAAGACATCATCGCAAATGCAGGAGTGGCTGCTGTGGCATCGACCATTTTTGTACGCATCGCACTCGGTACGTTGTTGGAGCGATTTGGGCCTGTGAATGTCCAATCAGGCCTGATGACCTTTGGAGCTTTCTGGGTTGCAATGGCTGCAGCCATTACAGCGCCCTGGAACTACACCTTAATCCGCTTCTTCATTGGGTGCGCAGGAGCGGGATGAATCCCAGACAGTTTTGGGTTAAACGAACCATGATTGAGAACGAATATCATCGTGCCAAGATGTGGTACAGACCATGGGCGATGTGTACAGCTTGTTCCAGCAAGAATCTTTTCTGATTTGTTCCGTGCTCACGCTAATTACTGCACTTGTTCACGTTCTTTTCCAATATTCGGAGTGTGAGCATGTCACCAGTCCCCACCCATCGGCCACCAGCCACCACCACCACCAGCAGCCAACCGACTACCAAACAACATTTTTTCCAGCACCCGTAGGCCATTTTCTATAATTCTTATTTTTTGGATTTGTTTTCAGCATGGAATGATTTTTCGAGGACAAACCCTGCAGGAGCTACCTTTGTCACCAACCAGTTCTGGTGCTCTTTGATGTTTTCCCCAAACGTGGTTGGCACGGCCAATGCCACAGCAGCTGGCTGGGGGAACTTGGGCGGCGGTGTTACACAGATCTTTATGATTTCAGTGCTGTTCAATCCAATGGTGAGTTCTGGCATGCCAGCAAACACTGCCTGGCGAGTTGCCATGATCGTTCCTGCTGTCCTTTTCCTGATTTGCGCAGCCACCATGAAACTCTTGTGTTGGGACACACCCACGGCCAAGCGCTTCGATGTGTCTGTGACTGGTAAGACCCAGAAACCATCTTTGTGGGACTATGTCGTGGTGCTGAAAGACATCCGCGTCATTGTGATGATTTTTCAATACAGTGCATGTTTCGGCACCGAACTCGCCATGAACAACCAACTGGCCACCCATTTCAGGACCTATTTCCAAATGGATGCGGCAGATGCATCAGCCTTGGCAGGAGCTTTTGGCCTCATGAACTTGTTTGCTAGGTCCCTGGGAGGCATCACCAGTGACATCCTCTTCAAGTACGTTGGTTTCCGAGGCCGCATTTGGGCGCAATTCTTGGCCCTTTTCTTTGAAGCGGTCTTCCTCTTCTGCTTTGGTATGGTGGACAGCTCGCAGCCATGGTATGTTGCTTTGGCCGTGCTGGTTTGTTTCTCTCTCTTTGTCCAGATGGCAGAAGGTACAAGCTACGGGATTGTGCCTTTTATGAACAAGCAGCAGCTGGCCGTGGTGTCTGCACTGGTTGGGGCTGGCGGAAATTTGGGAGCTGTTATCGCTGGGTTTTGCTTCTACAAACCCATCAATGATCCGCTGCTTCCTTTCCAGGTCCATGCAGGCTATGTCATGTTTTGGGCTTTGCTGTCCCCTTGCTACTACTGGCGTGAGCATGGGGGCATGTTCCACGGCCCAGCTGTGGATAAGACATCTGTGGATAAGACGTCTGTAGATAAGACGCCTGAGCCAGCTGGGAAGAAGCCCCAGGCTGCAGAATCCACAGAAAGTACCGTATAAAGTTTGGCATGTGTTTTTTTGGGATATCTAAGTTGTTGAGAAACAACTTTTCCGAAGACAGCAAAGGACACTCATGCAGAATGCATGCTTTGCTGTCCAGAATGATCCTTTGCATGGAGTGCAGGACGTTTGCAGAAAATACCGTATATAGAGTTTGGCATGATTCGGGTAGCTCTGAATTTCTCAGGAACAACCTTTCCAAGGACAGCAAAGGACAATCATGCAGAAGGCATGCTTTGCTGCCCAGAATGATTCCTTGCATGGAGTGCGGGATCATTTTGTTCCTGGCGGATGAGCACCAATGTCGCTGACAGGCTGATCTCAGCACGAAAAGGAACTTTAGCAGCTTGGGGCAAGTCTCTCTTGCATGGCTACATCTCCATCCAAGCGGGGTCTTTTTCATTGAATTTATAGTCAGTGTGTCGCTGTGTTGCGGAGAGGTTTACAGTATTTGTACTGGTCGAAGGAAGTTTAGAAGTGAAACTTCCGACAATATGGACAGATGAAAAGCAGAGGTGAGAAGAGTCAGAGGGGGGACGAGTCAGAAGAGAAAAGATCAGAAGAAAGAAGATGCAGGTGCGCGAAAAGGTCGGAAAGTCGCGAAACACTGTGTTTTTTCGAGGTTTTGTGGCTCCGGAGGGTCGAAAAGTAGGCTCGCTAAAGCGGCGGGTGCGGAGACATCTGGGGAGATGAGAGATGAAAAGTTGCACGCCGTTGTGGCGCGAAGCAGATTTTGAAGTGAAAAGGTACAAAACACCTCAGGTTCGGAGCACTTTTGGAAGTTGAGATGTTGAAAAAGTGCACGGCGTTGCGGCACCAAGCACATTTGGAAGTAAAATGTGTTAAAGACTGTCATGTTCGGAGCACTTTTGGAAGTTGCGATGTTGAAAAAGTGCACGGCGCTGTGGCGCGAAGCACATTTGGAAGTAAAAAGTGTTAAAAACTGTCACGTTCGGAGCACTTTTGGAAGTTGAGATGTTGAAAAAGTGCACGGGGCTGTGGCGCGAAGCACATTTCCAAGTCAAAATGTACAAAACACCTCAGCTCCGGAGCATTTTTTGAAGTTGTGATGTTGAAAAAGTGCAAGACGCTGTGGCGCGAAGCACATTTGGAAGTGAAAATTGTAAAAATCTGAGGGGTTCGGCGCACTTTTGGACGTGCAGACTTCGTTTTGTGTGGCAGGCGCACGGGATTCTGCACCTTGTCAAAAGTGAGCAAAAACGTGTGGGTTTTGTAGCATTTGCAGAAAGGATGGCAGGACACTACAACTACAACTACATTACAGTTACAACTACAACTACACTTCACTTCACGACACTACACAACACTACATTACACTACACTACAGGACACTACACTGCACTGCGCTACACTACACTACACTACAACTACAACTACAACTACAACTACACTACACTACATTACATTACATTACATCACATTACATTACATTACATTACATCACACTACACTACACTACACTACACTACACTACACTACACTACACTACACTACACTACACTACACTACACTACACTACACTACACGTACAACTACAGTTACACCTGCACTACAACTACACAACAGGTGCAACTACAACAACGCTGTACCAGAGGCTACAACTACACTACAACTGCACTACAGCTACACTACACTACATTACGCTACACTACACTGCACTGCCTCCAACCACCTTTCGATCCATCAGTGGGTTCGCTCTGCCATTCTTGCATCACACCAACACACCTCTCCTATAGTTTGCTATCTCTGAAACTTCCGCCACCGCCTTGTGCGGCACTACTGGTATTGGACTGTGTATGAAATAGATAGTACAGGTGGTACAAGCGTTGATTTGATCCTTTTCAGAAGGAGCACTGATGCCACTGCAGGCTTGGAATGGCTTGGATGATTTTGGCAAAGTTGTGAGCAAACATGGAAGCTTCGCAGCCATTTTTGTCATTTTTTTCGAGACTCAAGCGGCAGTTGCAGTCGGCCCGCCTTCGCAAAAAGCATGCCGGACTTCAAATTGGCAGTGGATAAGAACAACAAGGCAACAGAATTGGCTTTGATTCGCGTATGTGGCACAGTTCAGCAGAATCCACACATGAGGGCATTCTGGGCTTCCACCATCTCCTTCTTCCTAGCCTTCTTGGGCTGGTTTGCCCTGGCACCTTTGGCGCTCGAGGTGGCCACCAGCATGGGCACGTGCGAGAATCAACTCTACCCACCAGAAGACAACCCCAAGCGGGTGGCCTACCTGAAGTACAAGTCACTCAAGACAGGCAAAGCGTACTGCCAGTACGGCAAGAATGATGACACCAATCCCACAGACTGCAATCCCGTGCCACAGGACATTTTAGCGAGTGGGACTGCAGACGAGAAGATGCAGTACCGACCAGGGGTGCTGGCGGACTGTGTTTGCACCCCAGGAACTGAGTGCAAAGACATCATCGCAAATGCAGGAGTGGCTGCTGTGGCATCGACCATTTTTGTACGCATCGCACTCGGTACGTTGTTGGAGCGGTTTGGGCCTGTGAATGTCCAATCAGGCCTGATGACCTTTGGAGCTTTCTGGGTTGCAATGGCTGCAGCCATTACAGCGCCCTGGAACTACACCTTGATCCGCTTCTTCATTGGGTGCGCAGGAGCGGGATGAATCCCAGACAGTTTTGGGTTAAACGAACCATGATTGAGAACGAATATCATCGTGCCAAGATGCAGACCATGGGCGATGTGTACGGGAGAGGCATCCAAAAAACACTAAAGTGCTTCAAAAACAAGGTGGGCCAGAGAACCGAAAAGCAAGACGGCACACAGCACACCTTTTGTAAAATTTTGTGGTGTGGGCAGCTGTGGTCTGCACGAAATCGACGCAATATCTTTATGGAGACATCGTGAACACTGATGGTATGAGGGGCCACAATTCGCCACAGCATGCTGCCTCAGCTACATCTGCATTTTTTAAGTTGCTATTTCTGCTAATGTGACTCTATTCCATCTTTCTAGTCGCTATTTATGCTTGGAAGCAGCTCCTCTGTGTAACGACTTCTCTGTGTAAAAGCTCATCTGTGTAAAGATTTCTCTGCGTAAAAAACTTCTCTGCGTAAAAGTTTCTGTGTGTACAAGTTTCTCTGTGTAAGAGCTACTCTGTGTAAAAGTTTCTGTGCGTAAAGGCTTCTGTGTGCGTAAGCGTGTCTGTGTGTAAAGACTCCTCTGTTTAAACACCTCTGTGTGTAAAAGCTTCTGCGTGTAAAACCTCCTCTGTGTAAAGGCTACTGGTGTAAAAACTTCTGTCTATAAAAGTTTCTGTGCGTAAAAACTCCTCTGTGTAAAGACTTCTCTGTGTAAAAGCTCCTCTGTGTAAAGATTTGTCTGCCTAAAAGACTTCTCTGTGTAAAAGCTTCTGTGTGTAAAAGCTCCTGTGTGTAAAAGCTCCTCTGTGTACAGGTTTGTTTGTGTAAAGTCTTCTGTGTGTAAAAGATACCCATGAACATATCCCCTATATAATGAGGGGGGTCAACCCCTGCCATATTTCGTTTTATCGGCTTCCAGCGGCAGCCCTTTGTGGGTCAGGCCCCCCTCATTTTATAGTGGTTTTCATGTTGTAGCTGTCAAACCTCCCTACAA